CAAGGTATTTGTTTCATTAATATTGATATTAATATTAAAATATTTATTGTTTTTATTATTTTTGAAATCAATACATTTCAAGATCAATAAATTTAATAAATTTATTTATTATATATAGTTATTATAGGGAGGCGTTTTTAAGATTTTACACATTAAATTACACTTGGGTAATATTATTCATGTTTGGTTAATAAATCCTCACAAATAAATATTATAGTTTTTAGAAGCAATATGTTTCACTACTCAAGTACAATTTATATTTCACAATTAAATATTTTTTCAAGGTCAACATTTTCAAATTCCAAATTTACTACTTCTTCACTTTATCAATTAAGATTAAGGTTAATTCTTTATTTAAATACTATTATAAATTAATTTTTAATGAATACATGATACCACTAATTATAATTTATGCTATTTATTGGTAGTGATAATATCACCAATTTATTAGATTGTCTATTGCTATCCAAAGTATTGTGAGAATTATCAGAGCCAATATTTGAGTTATTGTCATCATCATCATCATCCTCATCCTGCAGGTTATCAATTTCTATATCTTCTGTAATTGTGTTCTTGTTTTTATTTAAATTTTTTACAAACTTTTTAACATTTTCATCAATTCCTTTTTTTATAATAATTTTCACAGTATCTACAGACTCTTTCTAATGTGTTATAACATGTTAAATGATAACCATATTCACTAATTAAAACTATTATATCATCAAGATTATTAGAAAATGCTTCTTTACAATGATCACAAATATTAAGAGATGGTATACATTATGTATGATAACCAGTTGGTAAGCATTTTATATCCACAATGCAATTAAGTGAAGCTAAATAATATGGGGTGATTTCTTCTTGGAAATAAGATAACAAAAATACTGGTTTTTTTAACAAGAAATTCCAGCTGATTAGGCTTATATGGGTAAATATATGGTTTTTTAAAGGTATCAACAAAAACTGATTTATAGGAATCTAAAGGAGTTTGTTAAAAAATAATAAATCATTTTCTTAATGTTTGTATTATATATATACATATATATATACACACACACACACACTACCCAGGCAAAAGTTTGTGAATGATGTTTTTTGTTAATTACACAAAATGCTACATAATAACAACACATAAAATTTTAACATTATACAACCTATGTTCTTGTCCGCTTTTGTATAAAATTTGATGTATTTTGTATTTCTAGTACTTTATTAACTAAAAAAAAAAAATTGATTAAATTTTAAAATGTTTACAGTTTCTCAAAAATTCTCATAATAAAAATATTTAAAATTATATCATATAAAAAACTATAATTTTGTGAATAAATTATATGATTCTAAATACTTTAATGCATCTAAATTTTATTTCTTTATTATTTTTTTCTAAATCATGATTTGCAAAAAAATTCAATTTTAACTTTTTGATGATCTTTCAAAAAAAAGTATTTCGTTTTTTTTAATTAATAAAGTACTAGAAATACAAAATACATCAAATTTTATACAAAAACGAACAAGAACATAGGCCATATAATGTTAAAATTTTATGTGTTGTTATTATGTAGCATTTTGC